TTATGGTAACAAATGTTACCATAATGTTTATAGTACATGGAAGTTTATGGTAACAAAAATGTTCCCTTAGAGAGGCAATACAGTATAGTGGTTTAAATAGAACATGGATTGGGAAGTCACACAAGAGGGATTTAAATCCTAGCTTATTATCTGAAAACAGGTCAGGCGTAGTGGCTCAAGCCTGTAATTCCAGCACTTTGGGAGACTTAGGCTGGCAGATCAGCCTTAAGGTCAGGAGTTTGAGACCAGCCTAGCCAATAAAATGAAACCCTGTTTCTATTAAAAATACAAAAATTAGCCGGGCATGATTGTGTACACCTGTAGTCCCAGCTCCTTGAGAGGCTTAGGCAGGAGAATCGCTTAAACTCAGGAGTCGGAGGTTGAAGTGAGCCAGGTTGCACTACTGCACTTCAGCCTGGGTGACAGAGTGAGACTTTGTCTCAAAAAACAAAAAAGCAGCATATTATCTGAATAGCTCGTTGTTTGACCTTTCTGGGCCTCAGTTTTCTCTTCTATAAAATGAGGATTAGTGAAGTAATACATATCAGAGGCCCCAAACACAGTAAGCTCTTGGCAAAGGATAGCTATTAGCAGAATTCAAGAGATTAAATGTTCAGTTAGAACTATGTATTTAATAATTTAAAAAATTTCCTTATAACTTGTTTCAGGTAAAAGGACTTGGGTATTAGCAAATGTATTTTTCTTACAGAAAATAAGAAACCATAAGACTTATGGAATTATAGAGTTATAAGGCCTGATGAAGAGTCACCTAGAAAAGTGATTCCAGGGCCTCCGCAGCCCTAATGATTCAAAATCTTTGGAGGATGAAGCCTAGAAATCTTTTTTTAAAAAAATCCCATTTGATTCTGAAGACGACCCAAGTTTGGAAACCACTGAGGTGGAGCATTTCTGGGCATGGGTGTGCTGAGCAAAATCATGATTATGCCAAGAACTATCTGTTCTTGGAGGGTTACTGGGGTGGGATGCTAAAGGAGAGGTTCCATATGAGATTATGTTTGTGATGCTTTATAAATTGCAAAGCACTACACATGGAGGGTACCGTTATGCAAAGGAGTATAATCATGAACTCCTGGTGTTGGAGATCTTAGAAAATTGAGGCTTACAGTGGTTAATGTAGCTTGTTTCAAAGTTAGGCAGCAAAGCAGGCAAAATACACATGGTGTTATGTAAGTGCCAACTGGGTGTCAGAGACATGAAATATCATGAGAACTTGGGATGGGGGCTACTGTGGGCTGGGAATGTTACAAAAGACTTCTTGGGGAGATGCAAATGAGGAATTGGTCTTGAAGGATGATTAAGACTCAGTAATACAGAGGACGGGGCAACTGAAAAAGACATAGAGGGAGGAATGCACCAGCAGGTTTGCGAAGGTGTGAGCACAAAAATTCATATGGAGGAGTGGTAGGGGAGAGAACTTGTGGAGGTCCTTAAGTTCTAAACTAGGGAGCTGAGACTATCTTGGTGAGCAGAAGGGATCGAAAGAAGGTTTCTGAATAGTACATAAGTAGGTGGAAAGTGAGAGCATAAAAGCAGGGCCCTTGAATCCAAAGGGCCCATGGAGAGAGGCTAAAATCGGGAGGCCACTGTAGTGTTGTCTAAACATGAGACCATACAGGTCTGAAAAGTGGGAATTAAGAAAGCCAGCGGGTGTAAGTGCCACAGGAGCAATGGACGGTTCTTGGAATATTTATGGGGATCAAAGGAGAAAGAGGAGGAAACCACCGTGAGCCTGAGGGATTGGAATTACGATGACAGCTTTCACAGAAATGGGAGGCCAGGTTGGTGGAAGAAAAGGTTGGTTTGAGACAGATGGTGGCACTGTTACAGTGCTCTGTACGGAAACTTGGGACACAACTCACCTTCATGTCCTCAAAGTTTGTTATCCCCATCTGAGGGAGGTTTGAGCAGTTCACATGGATGAGTTTTCGGCCACTGATGAAGTTTGTGGTAAAACACTCCTGTCAATACAACAAGGACATCACTTAAAAAATGTATGGCAAATAGAAGGAAGAAAAGGAGGGAAGAGGAGGAAGACAAAAAATCAAGTTTGTTCTATCCTGAGGAAAAAAATTATTTTATTTTTCTTTTTTAGAGACAGGGTCTCACTCTGTCATCCAGACTGGAGTGCAGTGCCACAGTCATAGCTCACTGCAGCCTCAAACTCGTGGGCTCAAGCAGTCCTCCAGCCACAGCCTCTTGAGTAGTTTAAATTTATTTTCTATCCCAATAATGGCACAATTTTTCCATGTAAGCTCTTCATTAAATTTTACACTGCTCTTTAATTGTTCTGGCATGGTGCAACCAGTGCTTCTTCATGTCTCAATTACATTTTTAAGTATAGCAGGTATTGCAGGGCACAGTGGCTCATGCCTATAATCCCAGGACTTTGAGAGGCCAACGCAGGTGGATCACCTGACGTTGGAAGTTCGAGACCAGCCTGACCAACATGGAGAAACCTCATCTCTACTAAAAATACAAAATTAACCGGGCATGGTGGCACATGCTTGTAATCCCAGCTACTCGGGAGGCTGAGGCAGGAGAATTGCTTAAACCCGGGAGGCAGAGGTTGCAGTGAGCCAAGATCACGCCATTGCACTCCAGCCTGGGCAACAAAAGCAAAACTCCGTCTCAAAAAAAAAAAAAAAAGTATAGTAGGTACAAAAGGTTTCAGATTGTGTATTGTTTTGCGGTAGCCTTAAACCTAGTTGGCATCAGTGAAATAAGAGGCTTACACTATCTTTTTACTAAAACTATTTTTGGTTAACTGGATAACTTGAATTAATACACTTAAGTGCTCATGATACATGTGACATATTTGGGGCAGACACTTTAAAGAGTAATAGTACAAATTCAAAGTAAGGGAGCTGCCACAAAAACAACTTGACAAAGTACCAGAAAACCTACCCTGAACAAAATCTACTTAAAAACACAGTTTTCTATGAAAAGAGGTCTATATACTCTTCTTGATCTTTTGTTCAAGGATTGCAGAGAAATGTAATCACTGGGAGGAAGAGGAAAAACAAACAGATGTGACCCTCCCTTCCTCTCCCAAAATACAAATATACATCAGTGACAAGGCCAAAATTAAAATCCAAGTTACCTCTACCACAGTCCAGGACTTTTTTGATCCTCCTTCTGGTAAAGAGATAAGAGATCAGGCCAGGTTAGAAGGAGTAAGAGGTAGAAGGACGAGAGCATGTGATTTCAAAAAACCTTATTTTTGTATACCTTGTATTGAGGGAAGCCTAGCTGGCTAATCCACTCTGCAACTTTCTCTGGATCCCAATTAAGATACTCAAATTGTAAGTCAGTCATTTTTTTTGGCTGGGTTTCTTCATCTTCAGAAACCAGTTCCTTTAACTCTTGGGACAAATCTACAACTTTCTTTTCACTAACAAACTCACTTGATTCTGTCTGAGACTCTGAGGGATGTGAGTATGAGCATTCTTCACTGACATCAAGCAATGTTTGGCGTTGTTGTGAAAACTCATAATGTGTACCAATGGATTCTTCACTTACTCTGACAGATCCTAATGAGTCATATTCTTTTTTAAATTCGTCACTTAGTGACAACTTTCCTCTTTTATGCTCATGGTGCTCTAGCTCAGCCTTTTCTACAGAATACCTAGACTTGATTGGTTCTGGACTGTCTTCCTTGGAAAATTCTACAGGTGTCTCTCTTGGTTTGGCTTCATCTGGTAACTCTAGATTTATCTCCTCAGTTGACTTGATTTGTGTTTTCTCTTCAACTTCTGGGTTGATCTCCTGTGGCAGCACTAGACCAGTCTCCTCTGGTGGTTGTGGATTTTTGTCCTTATTTGACTTTCTCATCTCTTCCGGACCTTCTGGTTTCAGCATTTCTGATTGTTCTAGACTTGTTTTCTCACTTGGTTTTCTTGATTCTTCCCCAGGAAATTCTAATTTGATCTCTTCTAGTGGCTCAGGAACTTTCTCATCAGTAGACTTTCTTGGATTGTGGTCTGGAAAGTCTAGTTTTGTCTGCTCGGGTAGTTCTGTCCCTTTCTCGTCAGTTGCTTTTCTTTGCATCTCTTCTGGAACTTCTGGTTGAGTCTCTTGTGGAGGCTCTAGATTTGCCTCCTCACTAGACTTTCTTGATTTGTTCTCTGGAAATTCTGGTGTAGCCTGCTTGGATGGCTCTGTCCTTTTCTTCTCAGTTGACTTTATTTGTGTCTCCTCTGGAATCTCTGGTTTGGTCATCTTTGGTAGCTGAAGATCTGTTTCTTCAAGTGATTCTCCTGGTTTCTCATTTGAAAAATCTAGTTTGGTCTGCTCTGGACGCTCTAGACCTGTCTCTTCGTGTTGCAATCTAAGTGATTCCTCTGGAACCCCCGGTTCAGTCTCCTCCTTTAGTAACTCTAAATTTCTCTCTCCGACTGTGGCCCCTGAAACCTCAGACATGGTTTCCGTTGGTCGCACTGGATCTGTTTCCATAGCTGACTCTAGGAACACATTCTCTGTAACATTTGGTTTAGCCTCTTCTGGTGGCTCTAGGTCTGACTCTTCATGCTTTTCATGCATAGGAGCCTCCAAATCTTTGAAAAACTCTTCCCTCATCTCTCTGGACGTCTCTGACTTTACCTCTTGGGGAATCCCTGGTTCAGTTTTGCTTGGTACGTCTCTCTTGGACTCCTTGGCAACTCCTTCCTCACACGTCCCGCTAGGTTTCAGCTGCACGTTCTTAGCACTCTCTGGCTCCCGCTCTTTGAAGTCCTCTTCCGCGGTCTCTGGCTGTGGCTCTTGGTAAATCTCTGCTGGTAGCTCCGGGCCTGCCTCTGCCATGGTTTCTGGCTCGGCATTTTCATGCAATTTATGAAGTCCAGGCAGTTCAGGTCTCTCAGGCTCCGGTTCTCCATCTTCATCTGGGCCGGAATTATAATCCTCCGGGACTTCAGCCATTTGCACCTTAGCGGACGCGCCGCGGCTTCCTAGCAACTCTAACTTCCGATAGCGTCGCTATGGATACCACGATTTCCGGCAGTGTCTTCCTGACCCTTCCCCAGGTTTTATTTGTTCTTTCAAGCCCTGACTTTAAAAATCGGCGATAAGAAGCATGCAGTAACCCTCCCCGCGGCCACATCGCCAGCCTTCGCGGGCCGGAGGTCCTGCGGCTCTCCCTGGATCAGCTCGCTCTTCCAGCTGTGGTCGCGCCACTTCTTCCGGCCTGCAGGCTGCGCTCGGCTGTGCCTGGCGCTCGCTCGGCTTTCGGCTGTTTCCGGAGCCACTCGCGTCTGGCGGCGGAGAGCTCCGGGCGCGGGCTACAGATGTCGGACCTGCAGGAAGCTGAGGGGCCTGGCTCCTGGAGCCCCACAGCCCACCAAGGGTCGGCGGGCGGCGTCGGGGACTGCCAGGGAGTGGAGGGGAGCCAGGCGACCGCCTCAGGTACGCAAGGCCGGGGCGCTGGCGGGTGGGTGCCGTCCGGCCTCAGGGCCCCGCACCTCGGCGCGAGCCTCCGCCGCGCTCTGCCCCGGGTTCCTCGGCGGAGCGGACCCATCTCGGCAGCTCCTTCGCGCGCAGGGCCCCTTCCCCGCCGATGCCACCACCCGGACCCTGGGCTTGAGGTTATTTTCTACTCCTGTTTCGAAATGCCTCGATACCTGCCCCGCTTCCTTTCTGAGATCTGCCCAAATGATAGTGACGGGGTGGTTGCCCCTGGCACCTCTTCAGCTTCTGTTTCAGCTTCAGCCGGGTTCGGGTCCCACCTCCGTCTGCTGATCACATCCAGACTGCCGACCCGAACCCTACTGGCCTCGCCGCCGCCTGCTTCTGGCTCCCCACCTGATCCCCACCTCAGTGCCCTGCCCCAGCCTTCCCACGCGCCTCTCTGCCCCCATCCGGGTTGGCAGATTTGACTTCCTCTGCCAGAACCCCACTTCGCCCTAGCCTCCCTGCACATAGGTCCCCTGGCCTTGCCGCCATCCTCTCCATCGCTCAGAGTGGGAAAAATGAAAAGCAGAGTTGGAGTGGGTAGTCTCTGGGGTCTTTTGATTGAACACAGTAGCGAAAGCAACAGCAGGAATTAAAAACATGAGCGACCTCCCTCATTCGCAAGACCCTCATCCTCTTCTTGTTCAGGACGATGTCTCCATTTCTACCCACGCGAGTTCCTCCGTGTGGATTAGTTAAGTGTCCAAAGACAAAAGAGCCCATCCACTTTCATCTTTCAGCCTCCTGAACACCAGACACGATGCAACTGAAAGGATTCTCTTTTGAAATACAAACGGTAGAGGGGAAAGAGCTGGTCTTATTAAGAAGCAAATATAAATTAATTTTCTAGGTCTGAAATTAGACACCATAAAGTATAATGGTTGAGACACTACTGTGGAGTCAGAGTGCCTGGATTGGAGTCTGAAACCTCAGTTTCCTCATCTGTAAAATGTGATTACTAAAAATATCTGCCTCATAGGATTATTGTGAGGATTACTTGAGCTGCTTTGTCTAAGGCATTTGTTGTGTAGTCCATGGTACACACTATACTCGTCTCATCCGTTGTGACAGTAAGGTCTCTTTTTGTTCAGCTGAACTTCCTGTGCTTCCAGAGGTGTTCTTGGGTGTATCGTTTCCAACATCGTGCCTTTTTCTCTCTTCTACTTCGTCCCAAGTATCTTCCCTCTCATAATGCTGCTTTACTCAAACACACACACAACTCACTCAGTTCTTTCTGTTGACTTTATATCCTCTTACTTTAAAACACCTAGCAAATTTTGCCTTTTTTTTTTTTAACGAACTTTTCTATGCTTTGTATTAAATTCAAAATCGTTGGCATGTATTTAACATTGTAGCAATAGAAATTCTAAGCATAATTTCTAAAAGACTAAGGAAATAAACACAAAAAGGTATGTAAGTCGTATAACACTTGTCCCTTGCATGCACCAGTATTTATAAATGAAGCGTGTTTTTACTTCCCCTTTAGGTTCTCTTGTGTTTACTGCAAACATCCCCGAGCGTTTTAGATAGAGGAGTGCTTCAAGAATATATTGGAAGATAGTGGGTTTGTCTTTGAGTGTTCCTTCCCCCACCCCCACCATCTTATTCGTTCCTGCATTCACTTCCTCCTAGGACATTGGTAGAAATGCTTACTTTCCTTCCTCTTACCCTCAAAATGCAGGGTGGTAGTTTTTTTTTTTTAATGTCATGTAGGGGTTTATTATAGTAGCCCAGGGCAAGCTCTTCCTCTTGAGGTAGGATTTGTTGCTAATAAAATAATAGTAATAATAACCTACAGGTATTGAATGCTTTTTCTGTGCCAGAGGTGGAAAGAGATTTGCGTATATTTTCTTATTTAGTCATGTCAACAATAATTTTCTTTCCATTTTACAGAGGAACAAGCTATAGCTGAGAAAGGTTAACTTACTTGTTCAAGTTAGTGCAAGCTTCACTGTCTATATGAATTTGTCATCTTATTATGATGAAGTCTATAATTGTTTGTTTTTATTGACCATGAACCAAGTGTTGGTACTCGTGGACAGGTTATTTATTGTCTTTGTCCTCAAGGTGTTTTCAGTTTGATGAGATGAGAGATCCGTTTCAGGGGGAAACAATTAACAATTCAAAACATTATATAATTGGGTACCTTTTCTCACAATTCTTTATCCACTAAGAAACCTGCTTAAAGGTAGGAATGGAATCTCTCTTATTTATCTAGAGCCCTTGATGTTGTGTCTTAGAGGTTTTGCAAGTATTTGCTGAGTTTGATGGTGAGAGAAAGTATGAATGCAGAGATTTGGATGAGCAACTAATGAATGTGAAGAATTAGGGTTGAGATAACCAGGAGTGTTCCTTGGGTTAGAGCAGTGGTTCTCAACCAGGTACAGTCTTGTACCCCCAGGGCATGGCAATGTCTGGAAACATTTTTGCTTGTCACAACTGGTGGCAGCTATTGCTGACATCTAGTGAGGATAGGCTAGGGATGTTTTCTAAACATCCTGCATGCACAAGGCAATCCCCATAATGAACAGATATCTGGCTTCAGGTGTCAGTAGTGCTGCTTTTGGGAACCCTGTGTTAGAGTTAATTAAGCTGAGCTTCCAAAGCAGTGTGGAAATATTACATTTGGCCTGGATCAGAGGCTTAGGAGTAAACCCCAAAAAACTGCTTTAAACTCAGAATTTGTTTGATTGGCTCCTTGTGCCATCTTCCTCTAGAAAATGATATAATGAGGGCTGGGCACGGTGTCTCATGCCTGTAATCCCAGCACTTTGGGAGGCCCAGGCGGGCAGATCATTAGGTCAAGAGATTGAGACTATCCTGGCCAACATGGTGAAACCCTATCTCTACCAAAAAACACAAAAATTAGCTGGGCATGGTGGTGTGTGCCTGTAGTCCCAGCTACTCGGGAGGCTGAGGCAGGAGAATTGCTTGAACCTGGGAGGTGGAGGTTGCAGTGAGCTGAGATTGAGCCACTGTACTCCAGCCTGGATGACAGAGACTCTGTCTCATCCCCCAACAACAACAAAAAAAGATACAATAAGTAAGCAATAGAGCTCTAAGAAAGAATGAAATTGAATATCTCTTACCCTCTCAGAAAACAGCAGTGAGAAATGAAATTGGATATTCAGGTGTTCTGTTAATCCATTTGGAATACCTGAGACTGGGCAATTTATAAGAAAAGGGTTTTAATTGGCTCATGGTATTGCAGAGTGTACAGGAAGTGTAGTGTTGGTATCTGCTTCTGGTGAGAGCCTCAGGAAGCTTACAGTCATGCTGTAAGGGGGAACAGGTACGTCACATGGAGAGAGTTGGGAATGAGAGAGAGAGACGGGGAAGTCTCAAACTCTTTTAAACAACCAGGTCTCAGGTGAACTAACTAAGCGAGAACTTATCATCAAGAGGATGATGCCAAACCATTCATGAGTTGTTCGTCACCATGATCCAGTCACATCCCACCAGACCCCACCTCTAACACTGGAAATCATATTTTAGCATGAAATTTGAGGGGCCAAACATCCAAGCCATATCAGGTATTATTGAATTAAGGGTTTTGGTTTTTCGGTGTATCTTATTCCTTCAAAGCAACAATGTGTCATTATCCAGAATAAGCATAACTTGTTTTTGAAAAGTGTTCTCTGCGGAGAATACCTATTGAATGTCTTCATGTTTATCAGCTGAGGTTTTGGCAAAAAGGAAGAAAAGGATTTATGTTCTTATGAACTAAGTTCTCCAGTGGTCATGGTGTTCTTTTTTTTTTTTTTTTTAACATTGTAATTGTTTTTAATAGTCTTTTATTTGAGGCACCTGGGTTCATCAGTTCCCAAGAGGACAGATAAATCATTCTTTAATCAGGAAACTCTCTGAGGCATACTTATTGCATCACTTAAAGGCAGTTTTTTTTTTGTTTGTTTTTTGTTTTAAGTTAGCTTTAGGGAAAATAAAGCTCTATTGTGATCCTGAAGTCAGCAGTAGAGCTTTGGTGTGTATGACCTCCAGAGCTACCAATACATTTAGATGTTGAGGACTGGAAACAGGTCATGTAAACTTGTCCATGGTTCTGAAGTAGGACTTAGAGTATTACAATAAGTGTTTTTGCAGTGGTGAAAATATTTTACTTTTTTTTTTTTTTTGAGATGGAGTTTCGCTCTTGTTACCCAGGCTGGAGTGCAATGGCGCGATCTCGGCTCACCGCAACCTCCGCCTCCTGGGTTCAGGCAATTCTCCTGCCTCAGCCTCCTGAGTAGCTGGGACTACAGGCACGCGCCACCATGCCCAGCTAATTTTTTGTAGTTTTTTTAGTAGAGATGGGGTTTCACCATGTTGACCAGGATGGTCTCGATCTCTTGACCTTGTGATCCACCCACCTTGGCCTCCCAAAGTGCTGGGATTACAGGCTTGAGCCACCGCGCCCGGCCTGTGGTGAAAATATTTTATATCTGTCCCAGCTACTTAGGAGGCTGAGGGAGGAGAATCGCTTGAACCTGGGAGGCAGAGGTTGTA